AAGAGTAGATTGAACAGCAGCGACATATCGTACCGCTCCATCGTTCATATTTGTGATTTCATTACGTTGTGGATTGTTTATGAAGAGTCTAAATCCAGGTATTTATGTTATATTTGAAGTTGTGTAAAGAATTCAAAGGTACTAACACATGTGAAGTGTCAGTAGCAGCGATGCAGTGTGTACCAAATTGGTTTCTCATTGTGCATATATTCAGGTTTTCGTTTGTTTTCTAGTTCGAGAAATGAATTCTAGCACGTTAATTTTTCTTTTCCGTTCCTTTTGCTCATAAACTGTCCCTTGCAATTTGCTTTACATGTGCACGAAGTAGCGAGTGCATCTATCTATGATCATAAACTGCTAGTATTAAGTGAATTTTGATAACTTCTTGTATATTACGGTACATTATCAAAGCAAAGAGACTGCATGTGTATAGTTCAATTCTGATATGATATAGTAGTGATCCCCTCTTTGTTTTTTGTTCATTCTTTCTTGTCTCTGTATGTCTATGCCTGTATACCTGCATAGGCTACTCTCTTTCACAAGGTTTTACTATGGAATGATCGCCCGATATGCGCTCTACATTATTACGTCATTGTGGCTTCCAGCGAGTTGGAGCCCCGGTTTAATAATGTGTGGAGCATGTATGTGGGAGAAAAGAACTGTACATATCTTAGTGTGTACGTACCAAAACCTTGTGTGCCTCGATCACACGAGCTTGAGAGAACGTGACAAAACTTATTGAATAAAAAATGCAATTCCTGATTCGTCCAGTATTGGCGTCAAAACAAGATACATTTTGTTACGAGTTTGCTTTATTATTGCGTCTTGTATCGTTTTAAGATGTTGATTCATGTTTAAAAGGCATGAGAAAGTAATTAATCTGATTGATTGATGAATTTGTGTAAATCACAGAGCATTGGAAAGAACACTTTCACACCCCAGTCGCATAGACGAGACTGAAGATGGACCAAATCAAAAATTACGTTGACACAGAACTGGCAAGATGTTGGGTCATCAATCGGGTTGGAATTGGTCTAGCAGTGTGATGGGGGTATAACCGAGTTTCAAAGTATTATGCTGATAAAGAGATAGAGGAGATGAGAGAAGTGTGATACAATATGCGAGTCAAAGAAGTGAGAGAGCAGAGAGGGAAATAAAGTAAGAAGTTAAAAATGAGCACGCTACAGTATGGCAAAATTGAATACAAGCAGTGAAAGAAAGGATAGTGTATGGTGTTTAAAAAGAAAGATGAGTTCTGGTAATAAACATAAATTAAGAGATAACCTGATGAATGCTTCCTTACTTTCAACAGCAATGTGCACAAACCCACATGCCACTCCAGTTCTTAAAATTTCTTTTCCCCCCCGACACCAAAATTACAAATGCTTGCAAATAATTACCAGGATTTAACCAAAGTAATTGTTATTTTGTGAAGATCATTTTTAATGGGCCATTTATGTGCTTTTCATGATCGTCCCACTTAAGATATCTGTATATGTTTGTATTTTGAAGATAATCGGTATATAAAATGTTTTTTATCATCTTGAATATCATCTGGAAATAAAAAAACTAAATGAAATATCTCTATTCATAGTATTCCCAGCTGGAATGGAGCTCTCGTGGTCTCTATACAGAGCTGAATAATGGATGCTACATCGGCATTATCTCACACCAATGATCTCATAAAACAAGATTATATCAGTTAAAAAAATATTGCACTTTATTTTGTACAAACAATTTACAAGTATACGTTTACTTGGAATAAGACAAAAACAATGAAATAAAAAAGAATAGTATTCAAGTTTTAGACATGAAAAAAAAACATCAAGGCAATTTGTTCACAATAGCAACTTTTTTTCTAAACACATGAAGAATACCAATGTTGAATCATATGGGTCAACATATATTTGAGTTATTTTCTACATAACTTCAAGCTTATCTGCCGTAATTTACAGGAGGGATTAGACTGCCCTGCAAGGTTACTGGACAGGTGGTTATCTCATCAACTCAGCTCTCAGTTAACATAAAAAAAAGAAGATCATGGGGGACCAATGGTCACCGATTAGGCATTGTTTGTTATATAGAGGGCGCAAGTAGCTACAAGTAGTGCAGTGGGCCTTTAAAGGTAAATTTGGAAAATTGGATTGATAGTAATTCTTTAAAATGTTGATATATTTGAATGCCCCTGTGGAAGTATTATAAGCACTAGTATATTTAGCCCCTAAAACACTTCTGCTTTCGAGAAATTGAATATATTTACATCACAGAGACATTACCGATTCAACCAATTTGAAGAGTCCAATAGTGATTAAACAACTTTCTCATTTTTTGTCCCGAGTTCATTCAAACTGTCATCAGTCGTAGTTTGCTATCAAGGTTGGATTTCCCTGTAAGTAGTTTCTAATGCAACATTAACTTGTGTCTGATTTTAGAATTTTAAACATTGACTATAATGAGCTGAAATTTGCACACAAATACAAATTTTACATCGTTCAAAGGACTGGCCATAGTATGAATAATTACACAAAATCATTACTCTGCACTTATATACCAAGTGATATCAGAATACAAAGTATAACATGTAAATGATAGAAGTTTGGTTCGAGATCATTATTGCTAGCCTTAAAAGAAAGATGATTCATGTTATTGCTCCTCCAAGCCTAGTCAATTCCTTTTTAGATTTGAGGTAAACCTCTTCCCTCAATTTTCTCAAACAAGCTGTATTGTACCATGGCATCAAATAACTCCATAACTCCATCAAATAAAAACAATAATAATATTCCGCTTTTATATAGCACTTAATACATCTACTACGTCTCTAAGCGCTTTACAGATATACTATTACCCCGGTCTTTGGATTCAATACTTGCCCGCACACACTGTGTGCACAATTTCCACCACCATATATACCGGAGTGTTGGCTCAGTCAGTAGAGCGACCGCCTCACAACCGGGAGGTCGTGGGTTCGAACCCCGGCCGCGTTATACTAAAAGACATTAAAAGATGGGAGTTGTTGCTACCTGTTTGGCGTTCAACAATAAAGGGATATAGCAACGTCGATCTGGCGCTGCTCAGTGGTTGCCGGGCTCACGATCAATTGGGCAAAAAGAATTTCCGTTTCGGTTTGATAAAATTTGGAGTGGACTATTAGGCTATTATTTTTATTATTATTATTATTATTATTATTATTCCAGCCAGACGTTACTTGACGCTCAAAAGCTGTTCGACGCAAAATGACGGTCGCATCTTACCGGGTACCCATTACCATGTAATCAGTTGATCCAGCTGATGGATAGGCTAAGCCAAAACAACAAATTGCCATTTTGTCTGCAACCAGTTTGTCTTCTACCTAATTATTCGATTCCCATATGGTCTACACCCCGTCCGTCTACTATCAACGTCCGTCTACTATCAACATGGTCTAATAATCATTTTGTCTAATGACTACTTAGGCTAATACCCTTTTCTAACTGCACTGATTTTAATCGGATGCATCCGGACGCATCCGATGAAACGGCCAGTTAGAAAGCAACAGAGGAGAAAAAGGCGATTAAATAGCCGATGAAAAGAAGAGAAATCTAGGTGATTAAATTCTCCTGTTCAAGAGTAGGAGAAATTCTCATTCTATCGGTGTGACACCGATGAAACGGCCAGTTAGAAAACGTTCGGGAGAAAAAGGCGATTAAAACAGCGATTAAAAATGGTCAAAGGTCGCAGTATATGCGCGCTTTATCGCAACCAGCTGTGTTTGTTGACTTATGGTTGAACATGCTGCATGCTATAGCTAGATGGAGCGCGGGCTTAATAATTACGCAATAATTCTTCACTTCCGGCAAGGGCTCGCCACATCGAGTGAATTTCACCGGCAGTTAGAAAGCGACAGGGGGAAAACTGCGGTTTCACCTTTGTTTACATAAGGAAAATTCAATCGGTATTTTCATCGGTGTGACTCCGATAGAAGCCAGTTAGAAAGCAGTATAATTGTCATTTTCCATATGGTTTAATCTCTAATTAGACTACTACCCATTTGGTCTATTCTTCATTTAGTCTAATACCCAGTTAGTCTAATTCCCAGTTTGTCTCAATTACTGCCATTTCGTCTACCATCAATAAGGTCTAATAATCAATTGATCATTATTATTCATGATTAAATAAGTATTGGAACATATGGGTTTAGACCATATGGGAATAGACCAATTAGGTAGTAGACGAACCGGTGGTAGACCAAACAGCTATAAAACAGTCGAAACTCTATTCAGCTTTAGCAGCTAGGTGTGGGCATTGTCCTTTCTTCACCTGCCATATCTTCCTCATGAAGATTATCCTTTATCCAATTTCTTCTTGTACTTCTTAGGCCTGTCCTCATCAGCTCCAGATTGCCAAATAGCCCGCTATTTCTGATTTGGGAAATAATCCTGAAGTTACAAAACGCGTCTTCATCAGCTCGAGACTTGACCTCAAAGCTTGAAACTCGAGCTCGAGAAATTATCTCGAGATATTTTGCTCAGCGTCTGCGCATAGTGCGAGTCTTCGGGCTGGTAAAGATGCACCGGACAACTAGCGGGATTTTTTGCCGAACAGCGGGATAGTTTGCAAACTAGCCCAAGATATCTTGGGATGATTATCTCGACCAAATATCCCGCTAATTGCAACTTTGGGCTGACGAAGACGCAAATTAACTGGATAATTTGCGATCGGGATAGTTCAAATAGCGGGATATTTGGCAATCTCAAGCTGATGAGGACAGGCCTCTTGATGATGCTACACAACCACTACCGAGGTCGTCTTCTCATGAAGATTATCTTTTCTTCAATTTTTTCTCGTACTTTTTAGGCCTGTCACTACTAGCTCGAGATTGCCAAATAGCCCGCTATATCTGATTTGGGAAATAGTCCCAAAGTTACAAATCACGTTTTCATCAGCTCGAGACTTGATCTCGAAACCTGAAACTCGAGCTCAAGATATGTTGCTCAGCGTTCGCGCATAGTGCGGGCAACTGGATAATTGTGATCGGGATAGTTCAAATAGCGGGATATTTGGCAATCTCGAGCTGATGAAGACAGGCCTCTTGATGATGCTATACAACCACTACCAAGGTTGTCTTCTCTTCAATGGCTTTCATTAGTTCTTAATGCTGTTGCATCCTGCAGAGGAGATTGCTAATTTGTCAAGTGCTTCCAGTAGTTCTTGACGCTATCGTGCCCCACTGTTACGAAACTTGTCCTTTCTTCAGTCGCTTCCAGTACTTCTTGACACTATCATGCCCTGCCGGAGAAACGATCATGATGCGTCGTGCAGTACTATCCCAGATAAGTACACCAAGATCCTGGTTAAAAAAGAAAGGATCCTTTTGATCAATTTTGATAAAAAAGATGAAAATAATAATCAACCATCAACCTGAAGAAAAACATAAAATCATTATGTGTGTAGAGAAAGCTTTTAATGGGCAATTTCTTCATGGGAGAATGCAGTAAAGAATATTTTCAAAAAATGGATCAAAGTTCAGAAGTAAGAAAAACACAATATCTTGAACTGCATGACCAATGACTATAGCAACAACAAAAAATTACCAACATGAAGGGTAATGAATGCTGATCCTCTCTATTGTACAATTAAAGATGCATATTAGTAGTCTCTCATGAGGAATTCAACACCATTTGGGCATTTACCCAAGAACAGCTAGATGTTGTCAGTCGCCAGGAATAGCCTTCAGTTGTATGACCAACGGGCCTTATGCAATGCTTTGCATTTTCCACCCATCCCCACACATGGTAAAGTCATTATCTTATGCTTCCCTCACCCAAAGACTCTCTGGGAGACTAGGGGGTATTTCTTGATAGGACTCCGGGTTTACTGAGTGCAAACTTGTACACCCGTTAATGGTTTTTGCACAAAGTCTGGTGTCGGCGAATTATGGCAGTCTGCACATGGAAACTAGCGACCATCTCCTTTAATATAAAAATGACTATATACCTCTCAAGTCTCAGATGTACATGTAAGAAGATTAACTGAATGAATTACATGCTACTTACCTTAGCATAGTCCCGTAGCACCTCAAAGTCATGAAGAGACAAGAACTCATTGTATATGATACCTAGAAAAAAAGGAAAAACAGAGAGTAGAATGTTAGTCCTTTTTATCACATTTATGAGGAATGCATTATGATCTGGGTAATTATTGCCTGTGGCACGCTCTGGAGATGAGAAGGCCAATCCTGGACTGGTAGAGACATCCACTGAATGGGCAGGCAATATATAATCTTGTATTTCTTGAAAGCATGTAGGTTTACAAAACTCCCGAAAGCAAGTTGAAAACTAAATATGGTAAATAATTTTTTCTTTCATGACACATTTTAAAATGTGATTACGGTACCCTTGGATACCTTCAATGAAACGATTTTAGTGAATCCATAGGTTTCATGTCCATGCAGACTGTACAAATTATGCAACACTTATTGTTATATTATTTCAGCTACTGTCAGAACACTTTATATACACTTCACATTTATTTTATTTCATTCATGCCCAGTACTTGAAAGTCATCAGTTCCAGGGGCAGGCCAATCTAAAATAATTAGAGGTAACAAAAATTGCCCAAACAAATCATATCAAAGCAAAGGCCTTCCTCATATAAACAACAAAGTGAAATAAACAAGTTTTCTCTGATGCGAACAAAAAGATTATTCAATGAACTGAAGTGCTAGAGACACGGGAAGGACAAATATTAAATCTATGGTTTTTGGAAGTCTTAGAGCCATGCATGTATGCTTACCCTGTGTAAAACTGAGTCTGTCTCTCTCCAGCTCCCAGAGTCTGACCTGATCACTGATAGTAGGAGGTACGATAGGTGTCTGGATGAAGAAAATAAGCAAACCGTCAATTTCCATTAAAGGCATCGTTTAAAAATGTTAAATCTGAGTTGCATGGCCGTACGTGTTCTCAGTGTCTGTGATATGGTGTAATATTGAAGCCCTAACAAAATTGCACTTCAAAATGATCATGAAGTGCCTCAAAAAAGTAAAAAATCTTTGAGTGACCGGTTTTACCATACTTGTTTTCCCCCAATAGACTGTAGTGTTATAAAAACCGTTAGGAAAACGAAAAATGAAGTTTTGATTTCCAATCATAAATATCTTGATAATCAGATGGGCGATCGGCTTGTAAAAGTCATGGGATACCTGACTGACCTGAAGGTTTATAATTATCATTGCAGCATGAGCTAAATCCAGGATATTGTTTCAGAATCTGAGGCAATGTTAAGGAGTCACATTAACACAAGTGATGGGAATTCTCATTTGGGGTCTTTGTTTTTTTTTTATGTGCAATTGGATACAGCAGGTAAATCAATAAATCAATCATGGTATGTGTTTGTATTGTAGTATTCATATTTATTGTTTAAAGTTACTTATGTACATTTACATAATATGGTAGTAGAGCAATGTGATACAACTACTGTAAGAGAGCTGTTTAAGTGCCAATGTTGCATTATATTGTAACAGATTTTTTTAATGTGAATAACCAAGCAGGTAAATTTTTGGTTTTTGGGGTGTTGTTTTGTTCCCCCTCCCCCCCCCCCCCTGAATTTGTGATTTAATGATTAGGGAAAATCACTAAAAACCTTTCATGTCAAGTGATCAGTCATTTTCTGATGAAATAAACAAAAAAAGCTTGTTCAAGACTTTAATTGATGACAAAGCTCTCTTACCTTCAGTCTCATGTTAGGGTGTGCATGAGTTCTCAAAAAACTTAGAATCTGTTCAGCTGTGATTCCATTCGATATGGCTAACTGTACACTTTCCCTTGTCAGAGCAGCCACAGAAAGGTTTGGAAACCTATAAAAGGAGAATTCAAAATTCATAAATGACTGCATTTAACAAGATAGGAGCTTGAATGTATATTGAGCTGGTAATTAAAGATAAAGTTGAGTTCTGATCATGCGATTGCATCGTGAAAGAAATGTTGTGGAATCGATCAGAAAAGGGTGATCATCTAGCAGTATTGGTGTGCACTGCAAGGTTCTGGAATCATCAAAATGCTAAGAAATTTGGCCCAGTCTTGGTAAAGTTACAAGCACTGTACACAGAAATATGTTTATGGGACTACATGGTTATGTGGTATAAAAATCTGTCCCAATTTGTATGATGTTACATGTCATATTTAGAATATTAAGGCATTTGAAGAGCCATGCTTTTCACAGGGGTGATAGTGAGCACTAAAAAAAAAATAGGTTTTTTGTTTTCCCCTCAACCACACCCCACTTGAGTAAGAAAAAAAAGAGGATTCGCGGGGAAAAAATGGCATCTAACAACATTCCCCCCTTTCGAGTAAGAAAATTGGGACAAAATTGGGGAAAAAATAGGGCAAAATAGGGAAGAATAGAGAAAATAAGAGGCAAATCGGGAAAATCAGGATAAAATAGGGAAGAAAAAAAAAATTGGTTAAAAAAAAAAAAAAAAAAAAAAAAAAATTATCTTTTTTTTTTTAAATCGGGAAGAAGAAAAAAAATCAAAAAAAATCAGGAAACCGATTTAAATCAGGTTTTTATCAGGCCTCTTTTCAGGAAACATTTTTTATCTAATGTTCTTCCACACTTGCATAATTCAATGATAACGCTCACAAATAATTTTTGAACTCTTCCCAGAACTCAACCTTCTCTTTAAATGTCAGAGAACCTACATAAATATAGAGCTTACACACAGAAACAACAGGAAGAAGAGATAGCACTATAATATATAAAACATAACAGGGGAAGAGAGGAAAGGAGGGAGGGCGAACCGGGAGAAGTGAAGAGATAGTACTAGATTGATGATGTAAAACATAACAAGGAGAAGGAGAGACGGACAAAGTGAGGGAGGGAGAAAAATGAGGAGGGTGGAAGAGAAAGGACAATCTCACCTGTACATCATAGAGCAAAAGAGTCCCAGTATTTCAACCTGCAGATCCGACTCTGTGTAGGCATAAATACGGAAGTTGGTTTCCACGACGATGAAGCCGTCTTTGTGATCGTCCTTGGCCATACTTGATACACCTGCAATTAGAGAATAAAAGTTTCAATCAGAAGGCAAGAACCACAGGTTTATTGCTGTTAGGTCTACAACCAGTTCGTCTACTATCCACATGGTCTAATAATCATTTGGTCTACTTATCATTTGTTCTAATGACCATTTAGGCTAATAGTCATTTGGTCTAATTCCCAGTTTGCCTAATGTCCATTTCGTCTACTATCCATATGGCCTAATAATCAGACTTTATGGATGGTAGACGTTAGACAAACTGGAAAATAGACCACCTGGTTATCAGAATAAATGAACAATAGACCAAATGGGTAGAAGACTAATTTGAGATTAGACAATATGGAAATTAGACAGAATGATTATTATCATATATGGTCATTAGACCAAATGATAGACAAATTGATTATTGGATCATATGGGAATAGATTAATTGGGTAGTAGACGAACTGGTTGTAGACCAAACGGCAATTCACCAAACCACACATATTTGCGGGCATAATGACCAACTAAAAGAACCAAACTAGTAAACAATGCTACATGAGTCTATGAAGCCTTCCAACCCCTTATCAAATGCTTCTCTTTCATCATTCATCTTGATCATGTTGATTACTTTGTTCTTTTATTTTAAAGCCCCACTGCACTACTTATAGCTACTTGCACCCTCTATATACCGGTAGCAAACAATGCTTAAGTGGTGACTGTTGGTCTCCCATGGTCCCCTTTTTTCTTATGTTAATTGAGAGCTGAATTGATGAGATAGCCACCTGTCAGTGACCTTGCAGTGAGGTCTCATCCCTCCTGGCCAAACTATTTCAAATAGACTTTAATAACTTGATTTCTATTGTTTTCAACTCTTTATCTTAGCTACTCACTCACCTGAAGCTAAGTTGATGGCTAGCCTGGTTGGATAGTAGCGCATGGACTTCCTCTGAAATATGGTAGAAAAATACAGTATGAAAGTGCTTCCAGAAATGAAAAGCATGGTTTACGGGATGACTCAAAAAGGTTTATCGCTAGATTACACAATCATACGAAAAAATTGGATCTACCAGAACGTCATTTTGAAGAGAATTAATAAATGCTTATTTGATTTATTTTCTTCACTTCTCAGTTAAGTACGGCTATGAAGAATAATACAATGAAAAGTGAAACTCTATCAACAATACGCCCTTCATATCTATTAAAAAAACACTGGTTACATCAGAAACATACTTGTACCTTATCAGGTCACTTTGCTGACAAACAAGGGTTTCAGAAACCAAATTATAACATTATAAGAATAAAGTTAATCTACTAGAGGTGAAGAAAAAGTGAACTGGAACATGTCAGATCATCATATAAATAATAATAATAAACAATGATATGGAGAATAATACAATGTAAAAAGAAACTCTCTCACTGATACAACATTTACATCTAATCCAACTGAATTCATATCAGAAACATACTTATACCTTATCAAGACATTCTACTGACAAACAAGAGTTTGACAACACCCCCCCCCCCTCCTCCGGGCAATACCCCTGGTAATGTCCTAGGCACTTATCAGCTCACCTTTCTTTGGAACACCAAGCCTAGCTCTCTCAGATGCTGCAAGAAATGAAGCTGCTGCTCAGTCATGCCCTCTGATGAATAGTCCTTAAAAGAGGAGAAAGAATACATTATAAAATATTTTCATCTGTTTATTGCTGCTGGTACTGTTAATTGAATTGAGAATGGTCATCTCTCTGTGACAATCATCCTTTCCTGTATAACAATGACCGATTCCATTTTTTTGTTTAAGAAGATTCACTGAAATGACATTTCTAGATTCTAGTTGCCATTAAATGTGCTTGAAGGGAGTTCTAGTAATAACTTGAGAGACATATGTATTACATGGCGATGAGTGTAAAATACTGAAAGCAATATAGTATGATTAGGTTTCATCACATTGATTTTGAAGCATAGATTTTTTTTTTTACCGGAGCTCTTTCGCAACTTTCCAGAGATAGATAATTCTCAGCTCACATATATCTTCCTCAGTGAATACAAATTTCATTTTAAAGATGAACACAGCTTGGATTTCACATTTCTCTGCATGATATATACAGTTAAAAACTAAATCATTCATATCCCTTGTATATCTGATTTTTTCTCTCTCCATAACCCAAGAATGAAATGAGGACTGGTTGAATTAGGGCTTTTGTTGAACACTTTCAGATGATAGCTTTAATATGTCACATTCTCAAGAAACATAAATCAGGACAAATCAATTTTTCATGCTCTTAAAAACTTTGCAAGGGTATGAATAATTTAGTTTTTAACTGTATTTGGCTCACTTTTCTTAACGTTGAGAAGCTGAGTTGGAAGAGGAACGAGACAGCATCTACAATGTCCTAAACCTCTAGATAGATAATTCTCTGCTCACTTTCTCAGTGAATACAAATTTAATTTCAAAGAAGAACATGGCTTGACTTTCACATTTATCTGCATGAGGCCTAAAATAAAAAAAAGATGTTGTATTGCCCTTTGCGACCGACCCAAAAGTCTTGAAATCAACGGTCGGCTTTATTATTATTTTTTTAACCGTTTTTTGGAGAAAAAAAAATGTATTTAAGCGTTAAAAACTGAGAAATATCAGCCCAAAGTGGGAGTCAAAATAAAATAAAAAAGTAAAAAAAGAAAAAAGATTTCCGACCGAACGACCCATGTTTTGGCACCTAAAGGGCAATCCAACATCTTTTTTTTTTGCCTGACATATATATTTTGACTCACTTTTCCTAACGTTGAGAAGCTGAGTTGGAAGAGGAAGGAGAGAGCATCTACAATGTCTAGACCTCGAGCCTGGGAGGTCTCTAGATACTGCAGCATGAAGAACCAGACCTGAGAGGGGGTATCTAGGAGCAGGAACTGAAAACCAGAGGGTGTGATCACCGGCGTTCCTCCTGATTCACCTCTGAAAAAGAAGAAAAGAGTAATTAAACTATGTAGTATTCCTTTTGAAGAAAAAAAAAGAAAAACGGTACAAGAAATTGATGTAAAGAGTCTAGATTATACAATTAAAACTTTCTGTTCAGTTATCTCATCTTTTTATAAAAACCTGTTAATGAGGCTGATTCCTCATAATAACAGCCTATGATACACTTTCAGTGAGAATTTGTTTCATATTCATCGTCATTTATGAAAGTCGCCATTTTGCATCTTACGAGGGGTTACCGACTTTCGTGCAATGGTGACAATCCCTCCCTCTACTTCTTCTTGTTTCAAGCATCCTCCTCATTAAGACCAACCTTACTGCTTCCCTTATGCCATCCACTTCCAGATCCCACGCTCTTTCCACAAGTTCATCATCTTCCCTTCTAACACATAACCCATCCATCTCAATCCACTTCTCTTTACTTCCACCACAGCTTCTTCCAGACCCAACCTTTCCATAACTCACTCGTGTTCTTTCTATCTGACAGTTTCACACCACACATCTTCCGTAATAAATGAGTTTTTAAAGCATTCCTTGGAAACTTAAAGAGCACAAAATATTATCCATCAGTTGATATCAGAAGAACTTCTGCAGTATATTCAAACCTCATGCACTGTGATTAAAACAAGGAATAAAATTTATAAATATACATGATGCATACACTGTATGACACCAACTACATTGACCATTACCAACGTACTCACAATCTCATTAAACCTGAATGAGTCAAGACGGTAGCGATATCTCGACTCAACGTATCTACAGCCTTGGAGGAGCCCACCAAGAAATGAAGTACACACTGAAAAAAAAAAAATATACATAACTGTAAATAAAATAAATTAGATCAATTTATATAGCGCATCTACTACATAAATATACCATACTGCGCTGTGATGAAAACAGAACGCTTAACAGTGCTACTTTACAGACACACAATAAACAAAACTATTCAAAAGCTCCTGAAAACAAGTGCGTCTTCATCAAAACTTTAAAGACAGCAACAGATGAGGCTTTTCTTATGTCTAGTCTAAGTTATTCCTGCTCATATACTTATTTTTATAAGTTATTTAGGCATACTTTAATACAGTCATAAAAGGAGTATGCCTGTATCAAGTGATGGGTCACAGCAAAAGATGCAACTAATACCAGGTTAATACTTTGGTATTTAACAGTTGTTGTGCATAAAGTTCTTATCTTCTATGCAACACTATTATGTTATTAAAGTAATTGATATTGTTATTATTAAAACGAGCATTCTTTTCCTAATTGTTGAGCTGTCATGACCATATATGTCCTATACAAAGGAAATACTGGTAGTCAAATAATATTCGTATTTGGAGGAGTCACTTCAAGGGTTGAATTTATCAGATAAAAGAGTTGTTGCACATCAGAATGAACAACTCCCGTATATCTTTAATCCGTTTACATACCTCCCATCTTTCCGAAGAGTACTTGTCAAGAGTAGCTGTTTCTTTCACTTTCTTGTCCTTTCCACCTTTTCCACCTTTTCCACTGATGGCCCATGGCTTGCCTCTGAATATTTATCATCAAAGAAAACAAGAAGAAAAAAAAACACATTGATTGCTGGAAGTAGGAAAAAGAAGACACAGCAGGAAAGATACATAGAAATTAATCTGGCAAAGGACTTGGGAAAGGTGGGAACACCTACCCTTCAATAAGAGATATAGAGAAGAGAGAAGAGGAAGAGATTGATAGATATATTGATAGATAGTTAGAGAGAGAGAAAGGGAGAGATAGAGAGAGTGGAAGAGAGAGAGGGAGGGAGAGAGGGAGGGAGAGGGAAAGGGAGAGAAAGAGAAAGAGAGAGAAAGAGAGAAAGAGAGAAAGAGAGAGAGAGAGAGAGAGAAAGAGAAAGAGAGAGAGAGAGAGAGAAAGAGAAAGAGAGAAAGAGGGGGTGTTTCAAGAAATGCACTCAGAGTCTTTTCTAAGAGCAAAAATTCAGTTAACCACACATGTGTAAGCCAGACTGATATATGCAAAAACAATCAGAGTTGCATTCATCCTCCAAACCAGAAGGAAAGATGGTAAGCAATGCAGTTACTCTTGAATAAGAGGCTTATATAGAATTACTGGCATTACACCTGCAATAAATAAAGAGATACAAAACACATACAGTCATCCTATAACAAACTGGATACCCTTACCCTCCAATAAGAGCAGTCTTGAGATTAGTCCTGAAGGTGAGATTGAGAAGCCATCCTGGAAGGCCGCCGGGCAAAGACTGGTCCCTGAACAGACGAAGATCTGTCAATGTTTTCAGTGCTGCATGAAGCTGTCTATAAACAATAACACCAACAAAAGGAACAAATATCTGGTAATTACCCATTAAAATAGAAAAGACTTGAGATTAGCTGAGAAAGTTTAATGATTTTGTTTCACTCAGACCTTTTACAAATGACATTGATCACCCCGAAATACAAATTTTCAGATGAACATAGGGACCAAGGCATTTAGATTAATATATGTCACCAATATTTGTCTATATTTGTATTGTTTCTGTATTACTTTGTAGATCTTCTCTTGATAAAGCTTGAATTTAAGTTTTAACCAATTAAAAATACAATTTTATATCAATGGACAGCTGAATGAAGGTAGAATATAAATAGAAAGCCCAAAAGATTAAAAAAATTCCCCCTTTTAATATTGCACAAAAGCAAATTAAAAACACTTTCCATACTCCTCAAATTACAGGTCAACAGGGAGCAAATTTGCCGCATTTGCAACCTGTAGAGAAATAAAAATTCCTTGTTTTTCTATAGGAATTGGCAAATTTTCCAACTTTTTGACAATATTTTCAACTACATGTATTGGTTTGTAGAGACATTACATCTTATCTCAATTCTTAACAATGTAGCAATAGAAGAAAAAAGTAATTATTGTTGCCAATTTGAAGAACACAGTGTGATCAATTTAGCCCTAAAGTTAATTCTGTCCTGAGACTGAGAGGGTTAACTTACTCCTGCTGGTTGCTCTGTATCCATGAGGTGACTGCAGCTTGGGGAATGGGAGTGTCAATGAACAACACCCTCATGATGCAATGTTTGCCCAAAACTGGAAGTTCACTGCACAGAAAAAGGTAATAATATACAATTAGTTCAAATATAAAGAAAAGAATGTCATACAAGTAAAGCCAGACTCCCCATCCCCAAACATTGCCAAAAAACATCTATTGACTACAACTTTTTAATTGCTAGTGAAAAATTGGATATTAATTATTAAAATCTAGCTATTTATACTTACAGGTTATTTGGCCTAGTGCAGATCTATTAAGTCATAATTAGAGTGCGAACATGGTGAAAAGCCACTACCGGTATTAGTTTTTTTCATTTAAATAACCATGTTTTGTGACAAGCCAGAATTTATTCCCATTTTTTCGTTTAAATACGTTTTACAAATTATGTACGATTTAAATCTAGAATTAGATCTAGATCTAGAGTTGACCTCAAAATGTTAATTGTCATCAGTAGGGGGGCTGGTTGGAGAATTAGGAATGTCCGCATAAACGAGGATATCCTCGAAAAACTTGGACAAATCGTGTCCTAAAAGTAAGGATTGTCCACATTTTCGAGTAGACTTTTTTTTCTTTGGCGCTCTGCGGGTGTAGGGTTCCTGACTGTGCACTGGCAATGCGAAAAATGAATTCCGCATAATAAAATACCCCCAATTCACCGTCTACTTTTATGGGTTTTTCCATATCTTCTCAAGGATTTATCGTTCATAACGTGAAAGTTTCTGTGCAAAGTAAATGTGAAAATGCATCAAGGAGCACGAGTATCATCACAAAATCCATTTTTCACATCGCCAACATGCGGCTTGGAAATAAGAATTTTCCGCATGCGTGCTTTCTCTTCCATGTTAAATCATCGATATACAACATGGGATGAATTGGGTTAGGACGAGGATTCACCCTTTTTTCCATCGAAGACTTCTTCAAAATCAAAGTTCAAAATCAAATTAGACCTAGATCTAATAGTTTGAACTTTGAAGTGGTTGAACGGATGGCCAGACAGACTGGCCAGAGGAGTTGAAAAACATCGTAATTGTTAACCTAAGTCAAAATCGAATTCTTAGAATCTACTTCTTTACATTTTGAAAAAATGTGACCCAACCGAACCCGCTTTTTGAATCATTTTCCTATGCAGGCTCTGGTACTCTGCTGACGGACGTTGATGACACAAATGTTCACCTGTGGGACCACACTTTCAATGAAAGGCAATAAATCAAATCCCAAATAAGCATTCTTTTGATTATATTTTACCGAAAAACAGCCAGACATGTTGCAGGATGATTGTAAAGTCTATCTAAGACAGATCCTTGAAGGGTCCGTAGATAACCATGGAGATCTTTGCAGTCAAGTTTCCTTGAATTATCAAATGCATCTTCACTGGAAGTCGCCATCTTGGATATCGATATCAGATCTAACTCTAAGGGCTGAACTAAGTTTGTTTTTGTTAGGGTTAATTTCAAAGAAATGATCAAGCGTATATATTTCAGTTTAGGTGAGTAGAAAATATTGTCATACATTTGATAAGACTTTAACCAAAGGCAAAAATAGAAGCTGTGCAGGTGAGAAAGAAGACCTAGATCTACAATGTAGATCGAATTGCTTGGGCTTTTCTCAGTTGTTATTACTCTTGTCCCACGTATTTTATTTTGTGTTATTAATATTAGTTAGGCTGTACGTGGCAAGAAGATGGACTGATGAAAGATGAAGATGGATCACGAAGAACTTTGCGCATATATATGCATTGCAGAGCTACCTGCGTTACACTGATTTAAGAAAAAGATTGAGAAGTAGCTCGAGGAAATGAATAGGAAAAAAACAAGAAGGGGAGAGAGAAAATAGAGAAGCAGAGAAGAAAAGGAGGAAGAAGAAAGCAAAAGATAGATGAAGAGTTGAAGATTGAGCTGAGCTGAGAGAGGAAGGAGAAGGAGCAAAAAAGAGGAAAAGGGAGAAGAAAAGAGCATGCAAGCTACTAAAGTGACTTTAAGCTGTGACTTGGGCATTGTCAGACCCTCTGAGCTGTGCCCCTCGCCCTCGGGCCTCCTGGAATAGCCCCAACGGCTTGACCGGTAGTACCCGGCGCGAAACAATATCGTCAGGCGCGGCGATAGCTAGGCGTGCATGTTGCAGACTGCAGCTGTGCTGTTTGTGCTGTGAAGTCCTCATGCCATGGGACACGTCTCTTAAATTGAGTTCTCCTCTCTAGCAATAATATAAAATATGACATTGATATCACCTAGCCATAATTGGCACCCATACCCCCTACGTGAAGAGCAATGTAAACACAACCTAAAGATAAATGTGTTTGTAATCACCACTTAACGCACCTGACTAACCCTGCAAATTGGCTTCAGAGGGGCTTACCTTGAATCATCAGGTCATTGCGTTAGGTCGGGTGGTCGCGTTACACGACCTTTTGTAGATTTGCTGTAGGGTTTTCACAAAGTGTCGGTTAAATTGGATCAGACCATTTGTAGATGAGAGGGATTTATTTCACAAACATAACCACAGGCATTTTGGGAATAAAGAGGCGTGTTTACACAAAAGATCGGGTAACGCAACCACCTTATCCGACACAATAACCCAATGATTCAAATTAAGCACTTCAGTGTTGGCTAGAAGACTCAGCTCTCTTCTCACATAAAGCACTTGGATATCGGTCAAGAATTTAATAAATATGTGAAAATTGATATAGGATCGAGTGATATCAATGTGCTTATACCTTCCATGTCTTCATAATGGTAATGAGCTAACGGTAAAAAGCAACATGCAATTTGCATTACAGAAATGTATTGTGTTTTTAAATACGTAATGCCCTTAATATGATTATTATTTCATTACATACATGTATTGACTGGAACATTTTTTCCTCACTTGCTTTACATTCAGGGTTTCAAGAGTGCAGGCATCGTCTCTGAGGTTCATTGTCATATAAGATGTCAGACTCTGTGGATTACAAAGATAACACCATCATCCAAGAAGCCATGGACTCAAGATTAACCTGTGGGATCTGTAGAGGGCGCTACAACGATCCTCGTCTCCTGCCATGTCTTCACACGTATTGCATGTCTTGTCTCCAAGGTCTCGAGTCTCACGTCCTCTTCTATCGGGATGATGGTAGCGATACCAGTTCTTTGAGTAGTATGCTGAGCCACTTGGGCAATAAAGCGTCTGCCATCATGTGTCCCGCATGTGGTACCGAGGTGGAGTTGTCCAAAGGAGGTCTAGGAGTGTTTCCGGTCGATTTCATGGCTCAGAGGATCCTGGTCCTCGACTCGCTGAACCCGAACTCAAGCAACCTCATCTGCGACCTTTGCACGGATAACTCCAAGGCCATTTCACGCTGTGTGGAATGCATGGTGAACGTGTGTGGTTTCTGTGTGCAGGCCCACAAGAGACAACGCAAGACGGCCGGCCACGGCGTGATCAGCCTCCACGAAGCTCAGCGTCAAGGGACGACCCAAATCCACTGCCCTGTCCATTGCCCGAAGCATACCCAGGAGGAGCTGAAGTTCTTCTGCGAGACGTGTGACCAGCCGGTCTGCCGGGAGTGCTGTCTGGTGGAGCATAGAGAGCATCTGGTGGAGTATACTGAGGACGTTGCAGAGCACCATGCAAGGGTCATCGCCAACCTGATCTCTCGTCTCCAACCGCACATGCAAGCCATCATGGCGGGCAAGGCTGCATCGGAACACCTTGAATGCATGATCAAGGAGCGCGGAGAGCAGGTCAAGTGCGAGGTGAATCACTACTTTGACAACTTCATCCAGGCTCTGCAGTCACATCGGCAGTCTCTGGTGACTCAGATCGGGCAGGTCTGCGACACAAGGTCCAAGTCCCTGCAGTCGCAGCGAATACAGCTCCAGCAGATCCTCACCGACATGGAGCACAGTAGCCGATTAGCATCCCAAGCACTGGCTGACAGCAACAACAAAGAGCTCATGTCCATTAAACCACTGATCTCTCAAAGGCTGTGCCACCTGAATCGCATCTCCTACCAGAGCACACCCAAGGGAGATTCAACTCTCCAGTTTAAACCCAAGATTGTGTCTAAGAAAGTGGTGAATGGAATGCAGGTTCCTGGCATTGTGGACACCAAGATAGCTGACTGTAACAAGAGCATTGCTAAGGGAGACGGTAAGAACAACCTCTTGGATACAATTTGATGCATAGCTCAGAACAAAACTTAGCACTCAATAAGGATGTACATGTATATTTTGTATTCTGTACTGAGTATTCATTTGCGGCTACATGTAAATCTCAATCTAAAGTTGTTGTGACATTAAAAGGAACAATACCAATTACTATTGCAATTGCACCCAATTCTTGCAAATTATTGCCGAGTGCATTTACATAAAAGAAACAGAGCAGAGACAAATTTATAGTACTAGATGCACACCTTACAATAAGTTTTCATTTCTTGTTAAAAAATGTTAGATAGTATCTTTTCATGAGCCAGTAGGATGTATTAACAAAAATAAGGCATGGAACAAACTGAACGATGCAGTTTCATGAGTGAAAAAAAAGTATTTACTATTCATAGAGTATAATGAAGAACAAAATTGACCATTCTTGACATACCGTAAATCTTTGCTAAATCATTTTGTTTTATATCACAGGTCTTCATAGAGCCAATCTAGGCCAACTAACCACCATCACCGTTTCTCTCCAAGATGCGATGGAGCAGGCCTATCATCATGGAGCGGATGAAATCATGGCTGAACTTCTTGCCATAGAGGGCAGGACAAGGTAAAATAGTGTCGCTATGGTGACACATGTGATTTTACTCCTTTTTGAGACACCTTTTGATCAAATCTACGATTTACTTTAAGTAGTTTTTTCCCTTCATTGTTAATTCAATATTTGAGTTCAAATTGTGATTTTATGCTAGGAAAATTGGAAATGGGGGAGTGTTACATAAAGCTGTGCGTAAAGTTACGAATGACTTTACAAATGATTTGAGTATGAAGAGCAAAATGGGATGCCCAAAGTTTGTCTTGACATCTTAACAAAGTGTGACTGTATTTCCCGTAATCTCAATTAAATTGTAGCCAAGAATACACTTTGCATTAAAATGTTTTGTTAATAATGATAAGGTTAATCTACATCTGCATATTTCAACTTAAGCTCTTCATATTCAAGTCATTCGTAAAGTCATGCGTAACTTTACGCACAGCTTTATAAAACACCGGCCCCGGGTACTCATTGCAAATGTTTGTTGATGTGAAGCTCACTTAATTTATGATGATTGCATTTGATTTTGTTACACCTTTCAGTGTTTTCTCTCTTTCATTTTGCTTGTTTGACATGCGACACAAGATCTCTTATTTTGTTCTTTCAACTTCTTTGCACGTGGTTGTTTGCGGTTTTGTTTGGTTTCCTTGCATGTTTTTATTATTTCTTACCACCATCAGAGCATATCCATGCAAGGTGGCCGAGAACGCCGATGGGAGTTACGGAGTGAGTTACACACCCAAGCAGCTAGGAGCCCATTCGCTTCAAATCCTTGTCAATGGCCATCACATCAGGGCATGTTTTTTATTTTACTTTTTACATTTGCTTTTACGTTTTTTACGTTTACTTTTACATTTTTTACGTTTACTTTTACGTTATTTACGTTTGCTTTTACGTTTTTTACGTTTACTTTTACGTTTTTTACGTTTACTTTTACGTTTTTTACGTTTACTTTTAAGTTTGCGATATCATTAGTTCGTTTACTTTTAAGTTTGCGATATCATTAGTTCGTTTCTTCTAAATTACCTCAGTCACACCGACAAACCGACTTCAAACCGGTTCAAAACTGATGGTCTCTTTGCCATTCCGTTTAATGTACTTTTCATTCGGTCTACTTTCGGTTTGATGTCGGTCTCATTGGTATGACTGGGGTATGAATTATGAATTGGTATTCATTTTGATTTTGCCTAATTTTGCAATGGATGGAAAGGGAAAAAATCTTGCAGTTTGTGTTATTTTTTCTCACCTCCCTACAATTTTGATTTTAGGGAATTTTGAATTTTGATTGTGCAATGAATTGAAAGGGAAAGTAGCTTGCAGTTTGTGTTTTTTTTTTCACCTCTTAAAATGGGATTTTGGGGAATTTTGAATGCATTTGTTTATCCTTCAGAGTGTTTGGTAGATTTTATTTTATTTGCTCTTCAAAATATTGTAAAATTGTTATTATATTTCAGGGCATCAGATTTCAAGACTTCATCTACACTCTACAATGACCAAATAAAATATTAATTAGTAATTTATGTATAATTAATGAAAAGGTCTTGATGTTTGATTCTTCCAAAACCCACCATATTTTCAAGATTTCATTGTGATAACCTCTGTTATTTCTCAATTTGAACTGTCTTCATTTGTGTTTAATATTGGAATGTGAATATAACAGGGAATCAGATTGAAAATTTTAAGATTTTGATCTATTTTGCAATTCACAGTTGATCAGTGTTGTGTAACTACACCAAAGTGTAGCTGGATAGAACTAAACATGTCTGCCAGATATATGGATGGGAGTAGTTGTAGTAGTAGCTGTCTGTTGAGAAGTGACAATGACCGCCTTCACTTTCATGAAGGCTGCTTGCAAAGGTGGGTAGGTACCGGTACTGACCCCAATTTTCATTTGAATTTCAGGGGAGTCCCTATAGCGTGTCGGTGAAGGTTGGATGGCAGGAGCACACTGGTATATGGCATTGCTGTACATTCTGTTCCAGTGAGGGCAACAAGCAAGCTACCTGTGCATGTGGGGCCATCATGCCTGGTAAGAACTGGGGCCCCTTTCACAAAGCCTTTTTTTCAATGATAAATGACAAAAATCAGTGACAAATCTGCTGATAACCAATCAGAAGCAAGGACTTCAGTAGCTTATAACAAAAACTGTCATTTGTCACTGATGAAAAGTTTTGTGAAATGCCGCCCCTGAAGCTGCAGTATAATACAACCAAATTTTGATTACAAAGACGAAGTATACTTCACATGGGTGGTATTTCTTTTGTATTTTTTTTTTAGCCTTGTATGTACATTTTCAAAGCCAGAGGTTTGATATTTAAAGGTACTATGTCCCATTTGCAGGCCCAAAAAATGAAAAAGTTAAATTCCAACTGCATTTGAAAGATAATACTAATTTAGAACTTCCCTTAAAAAGGTGGGGCTTGAAAATGTCTTCAAGTGGGAAAATAAAGACTATTAGTTGTCAAATCGACTTTAGGGCTATAGAGCCCAAAAGTAATAGTCTTGATTTTCAGACAATCGTACCGAATAGTCATACGTTTTATGCTGCGCAAAGATTCAACCAGTTTAATCTTGGCCATCACAAGAAGTGGGTTATTGATGTAGACAAATGCTCATGTACCCTTTACAACTCTTTTCATGTATGTTATTACCAAAGAAGAAAAAAGCCAGTCAGTCACTCAATAGTGTCTGACAGTGAAGTCTAGAAAGTAAACGGGTTTCCTTGCATAATTTGAATATGAGGACACTGCTAACATTTAAATTTCACAGACAGGACATACATGACATATTCATAATTCCTGCAAAGTTCTACAGGATTTGAGGTTGGCTGCAAAAGGGACATAGTACCTTTAAAAAGGATTAATTTTGATAAATCTTGAAGTCTGTGTTTTACGATGTCTGAAATCTGTACTTCCATCACCTGTGTGATGTTATTTTCCACTTTTTCCATTGTATCCATTTTAAATACCCCTTTCGTCTAATCTGTTACTTTCTAATACCAAACCTTTTTCTTCTTTTGTACATTTTGTTCTCTCTGCCTTTCCCCTCCCTCACCCTCTGTGCCTTTCAAATTCTTGTTTCGTCTCTCTATCTCTCTTCGTTCTTCTCCTTTTCTCTCTCTGCCTCCACTCTCACTCTCTCAAACTCTCTCCCCTCTCTTTCCTTCCTTTTTTTCCTTATCTGTGTCTCTCTCTCTTCACTCTTTTACCTTGTCCTCCTCTCTTTCCTCCCTCCCCCATTCTGTCTCTTTATATCTCTCTCTTTCCCCTCTCTTTACCTCCTCTTTGTCCTTCTCTTGTGTCTTTCCCTCTTCACTCTTGTCCTCCTCTCTCTTTCCTCCCTCCCCCATTCTGTCTCTCTATATCTCTCTCTTTCCCCTCTCTTTACCTCCTCTTTGTCCTTCTCTTGTGTCTTTCCCTCTTCACTCTTGTCCTCCTCTCTTTCCTCCCTCCCCCATTCTGTCTCTCTATATCTCTCTCTTTCCCCTCTCTTTACCTCCTCTTTGTCCTTCTCTTGTGTCTTTCCCTCTTCACTCTTGTCCTCCTCTCTCTTTCCTCCCTCCCCCATTCTGTCTCTTTATATCTCTCTCTTTCCCCTCTCTTTACCTCCTCTTTGTCCTTCTCTTGTGTCTTTCCCTCTTCACTCTTGTCCTCCTCTCTCTTTCCTCCCTCCCCCATTCTGTCTCTCTATATCTCTCTCTTTCCCCCCTCTTTACCTCTTTGTCCTTCTCTTGTGTCTTTCCCTCTTCACTCTTGTCCTCCTCTCTTTCCTCCCTCCCCCATTCTGTCTCTCTATATCTCTCTCTTTCCCCTCTCTTTACCTCCTCTTTGTCCTTCTCTTGTGTCTTTCCCTCTTCACTCGTGTCCTCCTCTCTCTTTCCTCCCTCCCCCATTCTGTCTCTCTCTATCTCTCTCTCTCTTTCCTCTCTCTTTACCTCTTCTTTGTCCTTCTCTTGTGTCTTTCCCTCTTCACTCTTGTCCTCCTCTCTCTTTCCTCCCTCCCCCATTCTGTCTCTCTAAATATCTCTCTTTCCCCTCTCTTTACCTCCCCTTTGTCCTTCTCTTGTGTCTTTCCCTCTTCACTCTTGTCCTCCTCTCTCTTTCCTCCCTCCCCCATTCTGTCTCTCTATATCTCTCTCTTTCCCCTCTCTTTACCTCTTTGTCCTTCTCTTGTGTCTTTCCCTCTTCACTCTTGTCCTCCTCTCTTTCCTCCCTGCCCCATTCTGTCTCTCTATATCTCTCTCTTTCCCCTCTCTTTACCTCCTCTTTGTCCTTCTCTTGTGTCTTTCCCTCTTCACTCTTGTCCTCCTCTCTTTCCTCCCTCCCCCATTCTGTCTCTCTATATCTCTCTCTTTCCCCTCTCTTTACCTCCTCTTTGTCCTTCTCTTGTGTCTTTCCCTCTTCACTCTTGTCCTCCTCTCTCTTTCCTCCCTCCCCCATTCTGTCTCTCTCTCTCTCACACACTTTCTCTCACTCACTCACTCACTCACTCTCCCTCTCACTCCCTCCCTCTTTCTCACTCGCCAATCTGCAGGTGGCTTCAAGGGTTGTGGTCACAGTCACCAAGGCCATCCGGGGAAGTGGCACTGGTCGTGCTGCGCCGTCAACGCGAGAGATGCCGAATGCACTGCTCGTCGTACCGCCCTGAGCAACAACAACACTCTCGCTGCGCTACGTAGCAGAATTCCCAGCACCAGCTCTGGATCTACCGACCACTCATCCAGATCGGGAGATGGAGGGCCTGTTAAGTTTATTGAGAAACCCACATTGGACAAAAGAGTGGTCTCTAAAAGTAAAGTCAAGACTGTGTCTTTATAGGTACATGTATGTGTGGATCTAATTAAGGGTCAGTTGCCTTCTTGGGGTACTGATGTTGGAAAGAAACTTAGAGTTGATTACATTCATGTAGAGGTTTCAGAATTTATTTGAGTATATTGAGAAACCCATGTTGGACAAGAGAGTCTCCAAAAGTAAAGTCAAGACGATGTCTTTGTAGGTGTGTATAGAACTGATCAAAGAACACTTGCCTTCTTTGGGTACCGATGTTGGATAGAAACTCGAGAGTTAATTGCATCCATGTAGAGGTTTCAGAATTTAGCATCGTACATTTGCGTTCAGGAGAAAAGATCGTTTGGCAGAAAGATTTCTGAAAAGATGATTAGTACTACAAAATTGGAGAATAGCGTTGAAGAGAGCCATATCTTAAGCTTTTTGACTTGCACTCATCAGAGTAAAACGCAAGAATGAAACAGAAAGCCGAAATCGATCAATATAAACAGATACTAAAAGGAACAAGGCACGAATATAACAAGCGCTGATTTCTGTTACTTAAATGTCTTTTCAGAAATATCGTATTCTGTTACATCATCTTGTGCTTTGAGAAAGCAAACATAAAGGGTACCTGTGTTGAAACAGCAGAGAGGCTTCAAAATACGATTGTATTGATTAAGGATGAAAAACTTTCAAAGTTTTTTGTTCAAAAGAATGATTATTTAAGATGTGGTATGAATTTTCAGCACACGAAGCAGTGTATTTATTATGTCTTTCTACGCATTCTGTAGATAATCAGGCCCAACTATCATATTAGTGAGAGAGGGGGCTGTTTATGTTCATGCTGAAGAGACTCGTTTTCTTTTGATTTGGTTCACTTTTCTTTTTTCTTTTTACATTTATAGCAAATTATTTGCAGGCACTTGAAAGACCGATCACTCTCTTAAAAAGAGCAAGACAACTCTGATTATTTATGATTTTAAAAAATTAAAAAATTAAAAGTATGATGAATATGAGAAATGGTAGGTGTTGTGCAGTATGTGTTGTAATGTTACGTTTGAATATATTTGGGAAAGGAAAGAAGTAACGGGATGTAATAGGGACTAAAACCAATAAAAAATACTTTTTCGTCCTTGATTTGATGATTCTTGCAAAATTGCTGTTTTATTTCACTTGAAAAATTCACATGAACTATGCAATGAAATGATTATGCAATATCTTTCACCGATGATGAAGTAATCGTCATGCTACATATTTATTTCAATATTGGCATCATATCACATTGTACTCACGCATGATTTTCATATATTTGTTTATTTATCTTTAGTCATTACGTATCTCTACTAATCAAATATTTAGTCATCATTTATAATTTGAATACATGTATCTTTACATCAGTGGTGCTACGAATTTCCCTGTTTCAATGCTGTTATTTATTTTATTATACACAAGCATGATATTTGCAGCATTTACTACTACCATGAGTAAGTGATGACATCATGAGTACATTTGTGATTTGTGCCATGTATACATATTCAGCAACGACAACAGTAAAGACAGCGCCTTTCATAACATACAGTTTACAACCAAATTATTCACACCCTTACCAAGTTTTGTAATTTTTTAATTTTTTAATTATGTAAGAAATTGATTTGTCCCAATTTATGTTTCTTGAGAAAGTGACATTTAAGCTTAAAACGTTTAATAGTATTCAACAAAGGCCCTAATTCAACCAGTTCACCTTTCATTCTTTCAAGTTAGGAAACAAACAAAAACATTAAATTTACAAGAGGTATGAATAACTTAGTTGTTAACTGTATATATTTTTCACATATACTTTTTCCTGCTAATAAAAGAAAAGAAAAACAGTGAACGAGGAATTATTCAGTAAAAATTGTTCATGATTGAAGCTGCGCATTATTTTTTCCCCATTGCCCAGTGTGATTATTTATGTTCTTACAACTTCTAGAAAAGAAATTGCTGAATTGGTAGAATGGATTTATCAAAAGGAAAACATACTAAAAAGGAAAAATATTATTGCACACTGCACAGGAAAAGTGACATTAAAAGAACTTATATATTTGTATTTGGAAGAGTTGCACTATGCATGAGATTTAATTTTCAAACACCTCGCTGATTATCTTGTATCGTACTAACATATTATCTTTATATTAACCTATGTCATGATAACTTGTGTCTTACCTTTACTAGATATTGTATTAATAACAAATAGTTCAGTTCAACTATAACCAAATATAGATTTATATATGTTTTGTATCTCTAACCCCGAAATAAATTATTGTTTCTAAATAATTGTTTCCTTAGATTTGTTCTTCTGGTCCAGAAATCATCTTTAAACTACTTTGTGCATGTGTTCTATTCTATTCTATTTCAAAGCCAATATTGAAACTGAACCAGTATTCTTTAATATCAATCACTCTATTTTAAGATTCAAGAGTATCTATACTATCTTTTTTGTCCTTCAACAAAAATAATTTTTCCCACAACCTAGCTCAATTGTGCTAGTGATCACCCTTCTCTAATACTGTTATCCAGGGGGCTGTTTCTCGAAATCATCATAAGTCGAACTTCTTGGACATCCCATTGAAACGTGTGCTGTAGAATTAAAACGCATTTCTATGGGATGCCCATTAACCTTAGAATTGTGACGGTTTCGAAGAACTGGCGCTGGCCCCAGTTCTTTTCATCTTCTTATGACTGCAGCCAACAATTTGTGAAAGTATTGAGAAATTGAAAGGCCCTATTATTAGGGATACACAACATGAGTTCAAGACAGCTGCATATATCTTGCACTACTAACAGTGACTCCGTAAACAATTTACATGTACAAGTTAACCCTTTCGGGATAGGATTTATTTTTTAGGGCACAATTGATTACATAATTGTTCTTCAAATTGGCAATAATAATATTTTTCTTTCATTGCTACATTGTAGAAATTATGTGTTATGTCTCTGTCTCTCTGAAAACAATATGCATGGGCAAGATATGTTGAAAAGTTTTTAAAATGGCACAATTTGATCAAGAAACAATGATGTTGCCAATTCTAGAATTTTAGACCTTATTTTACTTTTGAAAATTCCTTGCATCAAACACAATACATTAATGAAACAGAAATGGGTACAGTGTGTGGATGAATTTTTTGCCTTCTCTACTTGTGCATCTGGTAATTTTTTTTAGGGCTTTCAATAACAAAGTTAATGAACCCAACTACAAAAAGTCCAGAAAGGGTTAAATATGAAATCTGGTATTGCAATACATAAATCGTTTAGAATGCCAATGAGAAACAAATACGATTAGAACAGCAATTTTTTTGGGGGGCAATCGTAATTTATTTAAGTGAGATATATGATGCTGCACAGCAGTGACCACAATAGAAACATCAATTTCTAATGGTCTAAATTTCATTTTTAACCAATGAATATATATCAATCCTCATCTGTCGTACCAATATAACTTAGCAAAATGTACTTTTGTGTACATAATTATTCAATGCTCACTATTATGTCAATTAGCCATTCCTTGGCTAACACTTTACATGCAGTATTCATACTCTGTTATCTCAATCATTCCTATAAAATCTTGTTCTTTTTTTGTCTGATCAAAGTGACAGGTGCACAAATATTAAATTACAAGAGATTTTAAAAAGTAAAAAGATAAAATTGGCTACTTGTGCAAGTTAATAAGAGGACTAACGAGGGAAATATCCATTTGCAAACATGTAGCTTGTACATTGGAGCATTTTGTGCAACAATGCCCTGGTTTTCTCTCTATAATAAAAACCATTTCAGCAAAAAATAGATAACAGCACTGCAGCATTCATGAAAAGTTTTATCTGAATCTACTATGCACATTCTGACAACTTGAATGACAACACATGGCAAAGTCACTAAAATAAAACTGTTTGGGAAGCACTCCAGGAGGACAAAATATATTGGGGTGGGATTCAACTTATTTCCATTGGATCGCACTAATGTGATGAACCTGGTGAATACATATACAGCAAACCTGTATATAGCAACCGCCTAAGGAAAACACAAAATGTGGTCTTTGAAGACGGGTTCCGTTAGTACATGTTTCAATGAGAAACCATTTTCGAGGGGAGAAAAAGATGTGGTCTGTAGACGGTTGGTCACTAAAGCAGGTTTTTAAATGTATGAAATATTTAGTATCCACTTTTTTCACACGTTTCATTTCCCTTGTGGCTCTTCTCCAAGACTTCCGGGGCAGTATTCTGAACATTGTTGTATCTTTTGTCTTATCTTTTGTTGTATCTTCCAGAGATAATACAGTGCTTATATTGTTGTAGCGGTCTATTATCTCTTGAAGGACCGCATCTATCTTATCTTTGACACACCCATTCTTGTGGACCCTACCAATCAAGATCTATGTTAAATAAGCATGATAAGTACTTATACCCTTTTCACATCTACCAAATATTGCTTAACCCCGGGAAATAGGTGGGGCTAAGGGGGCTCTTAGCCCCACCAATTCCTTCCTTAGCCCCACCAATTACCCGGGGTAATTTTAGCCGGCTTTCTGTTCACATTACGTTTTGCCAAAGTGGGCTAACCCCACAAATAGTACGGGACTATCTGGCCCTGCAAAATAGCAGGGTTAGCCGGGCAATTGCGGGGTTAGCCGGGCAATTGTGGTGCTAAGCTGCGTAGTGTGAATCCGAACCGGGCTAAGGAGAAGCGGGGCTAAGCAACAGCCAATCACAGACAGCGTGGTCGTGTGGTCGTGAATTTGCATTTATCGCGCGCTATGCATGCAGTTCACGTTACGCATGCATGCAGTTTAGCGCGCGGGTTTTTCCCCTTCATTTAGTCGAAAGGCGCATGCGCGGTAGCAAAAGCATTAATATTCATGAGCTATCGAATAGTCCGGGGCTAAGGCGAACGTAGTGTGAATCGCGTGAAATTTCTTAACCCCGGCTAAGCACATAGTCCGGGGTTAAGAAAATAGATGTGAACAGCAAAAAAAAATAGTATGGGGTTAAGGATAGTATGGGGTTAAGGATAGTCCGGGGTTAAGAAAAATAGATGTGAAAAGGGTATAAGTAGGTCAACCACTAGGAGTGCTTTATGCTATATCTTCGCGCATACTAATTTTTGGAGAAATTTGATTATTGTGTTTATTACGCGTCATCATCAATTAATTATCTAGCTCGTGCATAGTACTGTGGCATATTGTTTTCACTTAGCTGGTTGTTAAGGTTAATTCACCCTGATTAATAGGATAAGACAGACACTGACTGCGAGTGTGGAACATCTGCGCAATCTATGTCACACTTATTAAGATGCCCACTCCTAGATGACCAATGCTGCCTGGAAGACCTAGTGGCAGCAAATGAGAAGGCTCTTCAGTGTGCAAAAGCCTGGCAGAACATTTGAGATCAGATGATGGACACGAAACAAGAAGAATAGAATAATAAGAAGAAGAAGATGGGTGGCAACAAGCAAAAAAGAAACAAAAACTTTAGGAAAGAAGAGGTGATGGTGTTGGTGTCGGAGATGGCTTCAAGGAAGGGTCTCATCACCGGATTAATAGAATAAGAAAAAGAAGATGGATGGCAACAAGCAAAAAAGAAATGAAAACTTTAGTAAGAAAAGAAACGAAAACTTCAAGGAAGGGTCTCATCATCGGTCCTTTATCCTCTTGGGCTTTAAAGTCAAGAGCTGGCAGGAATATTGGAAATAAGAAGAAAAAGATGGATAGCAACAAGCAAAAAAAACACGAAAAGTTTAGTAAAGAAGAGGTGATGGTGTTGGTGTCGGAGATGGCTTTAAGGAAGGGTCTCAACACCGGTCCTTTATCCAAGACATTGACTAATCACATGAAAAACACGGCGTGGGAGACGATCTGGGAAGTTGTAAGCGGGGTAAGTGGCTGGAAGAGGAGTGCCAAAGATGTCAGAAGAAAGTTTTCTATGGGAAAAAGTTAGGTAAAGAGAAAGGCTGCCTAAAGGAAGAGGGAGGCGGTCTTTGAAGTTGTAAGTGGCAGAAAGACGGGTGCTGAAGATGTTCGAAGAAAGTTTTCTATGAATGTGGCAGAAGACACTACAGAAGAGAACTTCATCAGAAATTACAGGTTAGGGTATAATGATTTCAATGCCCTCTGGGACATGATCCATGATAACAAATCATTTTAAAGACAACAAGTAAGGTAAAGAGAAGG